TCACTGGTCATCAGACCAAACGGCGTCGCATCGACTCCCGGACAATATGATACGTGCTCCCATATTCTGAAAGAAACCTTTGCACTGACATCGGTGTGATACACCGGTAGGCTCTGCCCTTGAGGCGTATGCTAGTCTGCAGTTTCCACCTGACGAGCTGCATGTGCTAGACGGTCAACCCCAAAACAAAAAAAAGATGTATGTATGTATATTATCCAATTCCTTCAGTCCGGTCGAGGCCGTTGGACGGAAAGGGGACAGCCGGAACTCGAATTTTGGCCGCATTCCACGCGCCTGCACGATCCGGCGGAATCCTTTCAAACACAGGCTAGCTCCGCCGCCGTGGTCGCATCGAGCGGCACTGGAGCCTCTTGATTGCAGTACTGGGCTAGCTCCCATGCACACTTCAGGCCTTCTCGTGGAAGTGGAATGCCGCGATCCTCATGGTAGGTAGGTGTATCAGATCTCAGGTTGCGATACAGCCTGATTGAGCAGCTCGATCGCGGTCAGTGCACAGCCTGCATGTGTGTTCTTGAGTTGGTTCGCTTTGATAGTGCTGCAGCATCAAGTTGCCCGTGCAAGGCGCCAGCGCGCCCCGCATTCAATCATGCAGTCCAGCAGCTATTATGAACGTCCTATGCTTATAGAGCTACATGTGTAAGCATTCCTCATGCAATTCCTCATCCAGTATCTCGAAGCTGGACGTGCACTAAGATCTGCACTCTTTTCTTGGTAAGATGAGTTGGCCATATTTAGCCACTATACACAAGGACACATCAACAGGGCTGGCAAAGCACAGGCTGGTTTGAGCAAACAGGCCGCGTGACAAAACAGTACACCGTGGGCTGATCAATATATGTGACCAATCTTCTTTGTTCAGCGGGGGGCACGGTAACCGAAGCGAGCGGCATGTTGTCTCCTTACAAGGTGCATCCAGAGACATGGCCATATTTGCAATCATACTCAAACCAGGCCGCTAAGCGGGCAGAGCCCACGCACATCACGCCATCAGAACTCGCCAGCCGCTGAGCAAGATGCGAAGACAACATGCGAAGCAATGACAGCAACGAAGACTTTCAAACTCATCAGCGCAACCGAGATTCTACACGTGCAAAGTTCCTAAGGTAGTTTGACTTGCAACAAACGCACGTTGCGTATGTTCTCCTTCCGTAATACAATCAATCTTCCCCTCGAAAGTTCCTTGTTTCAACGACTTTACTTCCTGTGGTAGACTGTGATTGTGCCATCCGGGTTCGAAACGTAGATCTCGCCGGTGCGCTCATTCCAGCGGAGCCCCAAGCTCGGACCGACCGGGGGGAGTGGCGACAGAGGGCAGCAAGCAGGGGGAGAGTCGCTGGTTTCAGACAGCTCGAGGCAGTACAGCCCTGCAAAGATGGAAGAAGGTGATCCTGAATGTCCTGCAAGTAGATACGTTGGAGAACAGAGTCTGGGCACAAGCTTACCTGAGAAAGCGGTCAGCTGTTAAGAGGGCTGCGCATGGAGCGAGGGAGATCGTGAAGACCCTCCAATAAGGACACCGCTATATTCATACCATGCTTTCTTTGCAGAGTCTTCGCCCAAGCAACAATGCCAGCATGTAATCCAGAAAGCGAAACACGCTGGATGCTAAGGACAAGGAATCTAAAAACTAGATACCAACTTGTGCTGACTTCGTTACGAGCGTCTATCCCTAAGCTGAAGGGAAAGGACCTACTTCCTGAGCCTAAAGCTCTGTCGGGCTGCCACTAAGAAGAAAGCAGAATGAAATTGGCCATACCTCTTCCAGTGGTAATGGCAAGAGCGTCCTTCAGCGGGCTGGCAGACAGGCGGGTCACTGGCTTCTGGTCGGGAGTCAAAGTCTGGGTGGCGGACGCGGCACCTGCGTGGAAAACCGGCAGCAATCAGCATACCAAGCCTTTATTCGTCCCCCGGTCCGATCCAGTAAAAGCAAGTCGTCGGCCACTGTTCAAGAGACCACCGAGACAGCTGGCCGCGGTCCCGCCGAAAGAGATAAGTGAGTCCCCTAGCGGAAAAGAGTGTTTTTTTCGAGTGTGTCCAGGACGATGAACCAAGAAGCCACTAAGTGTCCGCTGCACACTCCTCGTCGATGTCAACAACAAGAGGCTTCGTCTGTGACATATCTTGTCCAGCCGAAGAACTACTTGCACGGCAGCATCTGCCTACGTCTGCAAGCGTCAGGGTATCTGCATAGTGTCCGTTACACCAAATCCAGAAGTCTACAAAACGCTCACCTCGGATGTCCCACAAGCAGATGGTGCCGTCAGCGGAGGTGGAGGCCAGCCGGTTGGGGTCCAGCAGATCGAGGCCCGTCACGAGCGACCGCCCGTGCTGGAACTGGGTGGCGGGGGCGCTCGGCTTGGCGCGCAGGTCCCAGCTGGCACGCACATGAGAAGAAACAGTCAGAGCGCTTTGTAACCAGTCACACTCTGTTGACATAAACGTCTAAATTGTTCGAAACGTCTTCAACCTGGAGACTGTCCTGGAAAGGTTGCGGGGCGCTCGGCTTGGCGCGCAGGTCCCAGCTGGCAGACACACGAGACAGGAATCAATCGGAGTTGTCGTCTGAAGTGGCATACTCGTTCACATGAGAGGACAGGATGAGTAGTGAAGGTTACAATCCGAAGTGTTTCATCCACGTTTTCACCGTTATCAAGGTTTTCGAAGCAGGAGCGTGTTCGACCGCCGAGCACTGTCTCGAGGCATCGACGCGAGAGTGTAAAGCAGTCTTCAGACTCTCTTACAAAAAGCTCTACACTAGAGCTCGATTTACAAGGCAACCCTCCAATCCCCTGTCGGCCACTTTCCAACCAACGACGGCTCCTGCTGTTCAACTGTGATAAAGAAGTAGCACTAAGCAGGCCGACTAGGCGTTCAGCTCACATTCTGATGTTGCCGTTGCTTGCCGCCGTGAGCAGGCTGATTCCAAACGCGCTGCGGTGCACCGCCGTGATCTGTCCCTCGTGGGCCCGCCACGTGGCCTTGGTCAGCGTCGGGAGGGGGCCCGCGGTGCCGGCCGCCTTGGTGATGTCATACACGTACTGTATGGAAACGGAGATCATTCACTGCTGCTCAAGAACTACCCAAACGTTTGCAGGCAACGGGCCCGTAAGCTTTCAGATATTAGAGTAATGCAGAATGCGAGCGAGCAGTTTGTAAATTACGGAATCCTGCGCGCTCAACCTGGTTCTAAGCAACTAATTGGATGACCTAGTAAGATTGAACGTCAACTTTCACTGCACGAGGTTGTGATTCTGCCCGTCTCGCGATGTCCAAACACTTGGTTGGGAGCCGCTCCAAGATTCCGCGGAACCCAGGGATCCCCCATTGTTTCGACGAGACGAACCTCAGTCGATGATTGCAAGACACCAACTTCAATCGGTCAACAACCTGTCCCTTTCACTGGGAAAACCACTCACCACGTCAGTTGCGACGGTGGTAATGACGGAGGTCTTGAGGGGCCCCCCGTGCGGGTTGAGCGACGCGAGGTGCATCAGCGGCAGCCCCACCACGCCCGCCTGCTTGTGGTTCTGGCTCAGCGACAGCGCCTTGGCGGGGTCCGTCACGCGGATCAAGCCCTGCGCAAAGAAGAAAATCATCAGCGAACGGCCGTTCCAAATATTCAAACAGTAGAAGTGGCGGTGCTTTCTTGTCTCGTTTTGACTACGCTTAGAACCGCCCGCGTATGGCTTGCAGGGGGGCATCCTAATCCCCTGAGATCTCTTTGGAGGTCGGATCTCGAGGGGTTTTTTCTGGGCCTACTTGGAAGGAGCAACATCTGAGTGCGGCATTAAAAGGACCTGGCCTCAGATCGCGGACAAAAGTCGCATTGGGAAGCAACCCCGGATGTACACGTCTTCGCCAGGCGCAGACCAGAGTAGTCCACTGAAGGGGTTTTCACACGAAGTATGACGACCAAACGAAACGTGAATTGCCAGACAAGGGCATCGATCAAATGAACAGCCTGACTGTAAATTGAGGACCAGCTCCCAAACGGTCCTTAACATTTTCAACGGCTTTCGCCCGCTGCCAAAGGGGCCGTTTTTCAATGCTGGTGATTCAATCAACCTATATCCTTGCGGCTTACACTTCTGCTTGCCAATGCAATTTTGCCGTTCTACTAAGTGCTCAATAGGGCTGGAACACGCAAAGTGGCACAATCTGGATGGATCGCCACACAAGTAGCCGATACGCTCAACTTGTGGTGCTCACACGACACTGAGCAACTCTTGAAGGGATTGTTATCCTCAGCCGTGCGGAAAAGGGTAGACAAATATAATCCAGACGCAAAGAGGAGGCTGAGCAAAAACTCGGGGGCTGAAGCGATCCCGATCAATCAGGCCCAGGTATGTACTCTTTCGCCTGCCAACGGTGACAGCGTCTGGGCGAAACAGCAACTTGTGAACCGCAGGCTGCAAATCAATCTTGCTACCATGTCGCCGGCCAGTACAGGGATGATCACTTCACGAGATAGGGAGGGGCGTTTTCCCCGCCCTCTGCCCTGTCCTTGTTAGCGCTGCAGCAATTTCGTCGGAAATTCTCTTTGGCAACTTCACACATTCGCAATCAATCTCGAGACTGCCAATCTGGATAAAATGCTAGGATCAGCTCAAGGGGGCAGGGAAATTCTCAGGAATACAAGCTTTTGCACAGGATTGCCAGGCATCAGACATTCCCCTTAAGCGCTGGCTTAAGAGCCAGGCTTAATGCCATCATTACCCAACCCTTAGAGGTTCCTTCGCTGAGCGAGCACAAATTTGACATTAATTTGATGCCACAGAACGGTGCCCCGCACGTCTCTTCCTAAGCGACGAATGCTCAGCCTGCTAGATGATCTCAAAGGACGGCGACAGGCAAGTGCAGAGCTTTGCAGGCCCTTTGCGGGTCTTCCAAATGAAGGCCCTGAGAACGCCTAGGAAGCGCAAAAAAGGAACCAGAAGAGCAAACTTTCTCAAAATGCAAGGCCCTCACTTTGAAGATCTGCTGACGACCTGGCGGATTAAAGGACCTACGCTTGTTGGAAGCTGGCAGTTCCCGATACGTCCTCAAATTGACAGTTTGGGTTGGCATCAAAGGATGCTTCAATACCCAAATGGCTTCATCGCCACGACTGCATCCAATCATCGCCTTTGAGTTAAGGTCAAAACCAGCTAACCGAGACTGCAGCTTTACTTGAGAGCAGGCACTTTTCCTTTCACTCAGAATCATGTTGCGTCTCACACGCTAAGGTACGGTTTCTCTGAGTTACAATCACGAGCTGCAATTCTGAGGCGGTGCCAACAGGCAACCCGAAAGAACGACAGGACAAGATCTAGGTTTTACAGCAACATAGACAATCTCAAACAGACAGAAAAGGCAGTAGCTCAATCCACATCGCGTTCCCCACACCTACGAAGCGTCGGGGTAATTTTGAAACCCTCGGCCGCAGGTCCCGCCTCCCTAAGTGGGCACGATAAAAATATCTCACGACCGAAGTGACCGACAAGTACTGCCCCTTGAGAGTCCGCGAACTTTTTCACTTTCTGCAGTTAACAGACCGAGGGGCGGGAACAGACTTTCAAGACTTTTGCTGACCAAAGGGATAAATCATTTATGCTGACAAAAAGGGATAAATGATAACAGATACGGCCTGCGACGGCCTGCGAGGCCACAAAGTTCAAAAGAATGATCGGTCGTCTCGAAAGTTTCAAGAAAAATGCACGGGTTGTTCTGATAGCAACGACAAGCTCGTATCCGGATTTGCAGTTGCGACGGCTTGACAATCCTTGATCTTATACCATACTGTTCCAAGCTCGCCCAGAGACATTGATAAACTACACGCAAGTAAGGGGGAAGCCTCATCAATTTAGACTGATGGGGATTTAGACAGCTGAAATCGCTCTTGACGGAGTTGATCCCATCATTGAGATCAGTGCAGAATGTGGCTAGTGGCTGGAAATGAAACCGGTGACTCCCAGGCACACGAAAAAAAGAAGAGCCGCTTCTCATGGATCAAAGGAAAGGGCAGCCGTTCCAAATGACAAATGCGACGAAACCCATTTGACAGGGGCACGTCAACCAGAATGCTAGTAATTGGGTGGTAAATGGCCGGATGCTTGCGATCACCAGTGGCTATTAAAAAGGTTAGCAGAGCTTGAAGTAGTTTATTCTGTTTGTAAGAGCCTCGTGATAACCAGCTTCGAGCAGCCAGAGCAAGAGCGGTCTAAAAAGACGGCCCCGAGAGCGTTCTTGCAACCGATACGAGCTTGCTACGGAACCCGCTTCAGGAGGGGAACCGCAGAAGGTAATAATGTTTGCCACTTGCAGATCCGACGAAGGCGTGATCGAGATAGGGCGGGATCAAAGTTGATCGGTTCTTAATTCAATGCATCCCAGGCTACAGGAAGTCGTGAGGCACCTTAGAAGCGTTGGCATCAGGACGATGTTGGCTCATCGTCCAACTCATCTTCATCAACGTCAAAGCTTCCGTAAAGTACCCGGGAACAACTCAACATCGCCGGCGTCAGCCAAACCTCACCATATCTTTTTCTTGAACCCGGACCTTAGTTTTCAAGACCAGCAGCCCGACAACACCACTGAGTGAATTCACAACCCCTCGTTCGTCAAAACGAGATCGTGCCGACAGCAGAACAGCAGCAGGTGCTTCCGGGTTACTGTAAGCAGTCGTCAGACCCGAAATCAAATGTCAGCAACTTTGACGAAGCAGATAGAAAACAGATAACCGCACCTTGTAGGCGAAGAAGTTGTCCCCTGAGAGCGAGTGCAGCGTGACGCAGAGGCTCCCCTGGTGGTGCTGCGCGGCGCTCACGAGCAACTGGTGCTGCGGGTCGCGGTCGAGGCCCAAAACCTGGTAGTCCGTCGCTTGGCTGTGCATCACCTGGGGGAGATGAAGAACGTCCTTTCTCAGCGTTTTCCTGTGCGGGTTGCTAGGTTGCTTGATCAGATGTTTTAAGCAGAAGACAACGACGGTTTCAAGGGGTCTTCTACCAACACACGTACCTTCGATATGGTCTGGTAAGAGAAAGAAGCATTGTAGGAGGCAAGAGAAGACGTTCCAAACCAGAGGTATCACGCTATCCCTGAGCCGATTGACTGTACCTCATCAGCTGTCAATACCGATCGCCCGAAAGGGCTTCCTCTTGGCCAGCCTTTCAGCCAGAAAACGGAACAAAACACGCGGCTAATACTGTATCTGGCTTCAAATCGGTTCTCCACCCCACCTGTAGCGACGGCTCCCCTGCGACCCCGCCCCCTGCGTTGCACTCCCACAGGTTCAGCAGGCGGTTGGATGCGCTGACCAGCCAGCCGGCGTGGCCGTCCCCGTCAGCCAGGCCCTGGTAGGACGACGAGTACAGCATGGCAGTCACGGGGTGGCGGTTGTGCTCCTCGGCCGCAGTCACCCAGCAGCGCTTCCAGGGAGAGGCCTGTAATGAAGGATGCGATGAGGTGGTAGAATAAAGGATTTAAAACCTGAAAACTGGGTGTGCAGGGTGGGAGAGAACAGAGGGAGAGGCTTTCCTTAGCTGCAGCTTGTTGATCAGAGGCACGGAAAGGTGCCGAGCACTTTGGAGTGGTATGGCCATCTAAATCGTAAGCAAATGCAAGCATACAGGTACATTTCTGTGGTGCATGTTTGAGTGCATGAGCTGTTCAATGCCTTCCGGTGTATTAAATACTTTTCATCAACTGCATGGACGAACCTGGCTTTGAGGAGCAAGCTCATGTAGTCCAAGAAGCTGACCAGTGTCTGATGCACGGCTTCAGAGACTGGAAGAATATGGATCACTTATAAGCTCAACACAAAAAACGGAAGACAGGATACCTGCGGCGGGATCTGCTTGACGGCCCCACTGACGACTCCATTCAAGGCCGCTGGGGCTGGCTCTGCTGGCTTTTGAAATTGCTGGTTGGCAGGCGGGAAGGAGTGGCCTTGAGCATGAGGGGAAACTACGGCCGGAAAGCTGAATGAGGAGGCCTCTGAGCTCTCTGGCTGGGAGTATGAGATTGGAGGTGGAGCGACGGACTGCGGCGGCGCAGCAAAGCTCTGAATTGGTTGTGCAGTGAAGCTCTGGGAAGGGGGTGCTGGCTGGTGGTTAGCAGGGGGGGTGGGAGCACGCTGGGCGGGAGAGGCGAGCCTGCTGACGGGGATCTGGGTCAAGAATGGGATGGCCTGAGGAGCAGGCTGCGGCTGCGCGAAAGGGAGAACCTAGCTTCAGCAATGAGTGGAGTCGAACAATAGGGCTAAACAGCTCCTTGAAGTATGTCAACTTGATCAAACGAAGCAAGTGATGTGTCAGTTGCTAACAGCTACTCTAGCAGATCAAAATGACCCTTGAGTCCGTGCTCAGAACGTGGTGGTGCAGGCATACGCTACTGTAACAGCAAGTCTCCAAAGTGCAACGACGTGGTTACTGAATATCAGGTCTGTCCTCTGTAGATTACCTATCAAGGCATTGATCTTTAAATGAAGAGTAGCAGTGGTTGATATTACGAAATTATTCTTGATATAATGTTTTCCTTGAATGATACACCATGCAGCGAGGTGGGAACACCACCATCCCACTTCAGGAAGGAAAGCAGACTTCTGACTTCAAAACGCAAGGTTTAAGACTTCTCGCTGTTTGCTGACTCCGGAAGCTTTGTTCCTTCTGCTCCAACTTTCTCCTGTAGATCATGTCTCAACCCATGCGTACTTTAACCCCAAAAAGGCATACACTCCCCTTCTCAGAGCATTGCAATGTGTTTCTATGGTCTGTTGCCGGATAGAACAAAAATGGAGTACAGAGCAGTTTAGAGACCATTTCCTAGCTCTAAATGACAGTTGAAAAAGTTTCGTTCACGACTTTGGGAAAAACGTGTAACTTGAAAGCAATTGCGCATAAAACACCACCAATTCAATGCCGTCTGAAATGTTACATTGTTAGTAAGCCTCAATGCCACCAGAGAACATTCAGCAATCGCAATCCATACAACTGTTGTACAACTCAATGCCCGAGGCCAAGACTTCTTTTCCAGGAAAATCCTTACCTCTGCAGTCACAGGCGCTCCCGCCTGGTCCTCAAATGCCTTCACGGCCAGGGTCAGCAGCCGCAAAGTCTCTCCCAGCTCGGAAGCGTCAAGCTCAATGCGGATGGCATTGCGCCCCACCTGGGGCTCGACGGGGATCTGCACCACCCCCGGCATGATGCGTATTGAAACTTGAACGAGGGGCAGGAGGAAGCGCTTCAAAACGCCGAAAGTGGTGCCGCCAACTATTATAACAGCTCAGTTTCTGTAGCTGTAGGATAGAGTTATGCATGACCCCCGCGCGAGCGCGAGCGGCTAGACAGGTTGGCGGCCGCGGCCATTGGGCCGCCGCCTGCCCCGGCCGCGTCCGGCCGCGTCCCTCTCAGCTCTTCTGCGCATATCACGGCATAATCACTGCGGGGGACACACCTAGAAGTAAGTAGGTAAACATCACCAAAATAGACCCACATGGCACAGGTACATTATACACTGTCGCACTGCAGTAGGTACATCTCAGTGCGCTCTTGAAACTTTGAACAGTCTTCAGCTCAATCAAGATGGCGACGAGACGCGGACGGCGCAGCACTAGTGCCAGCAACATGATGTGAGATCCGGAGCCCAGCTCCCGGACCGAAGACCTCGGGAAAGCAAAACCGGCTACATTCTTTCAATGTGCATGTGCACTCATGATGGTTCTTATGAGTCAATCAGATAGAATGCTTAGGAATGGATGCATGTACAATTGCCCCACCGTAGCCCCATGCCTCTGATAGGTAGTGCACGGGCTGTTACTATTGGAGAAGGGATTAACATCGTCGCAAAATGGTACAAGCTCTGATCCGAAGCAGTCGGTCAGCATTTGGCTCTGAATGAAGAGCTGCTCGACCAATCTACTCAGAACTCTCATGACTCTCTGCAAAGAGTCAGGAAGTACGCCCTTTCAGAACAGGGCTTCGTCTGATAGTGACCTCTACTATGCGCGGACTACAGGTAGACGTCGTACGCAAAAGACTGATCAGTAGATAATATGAACGTGTGATCTGGTGCACACTGGTCCAATCATCTCTCTCTTGCTCTTAAACAAAAACGACGGAGTTGAGGTGCTCTCTTCGAAAAGCTAGCTTGCTCTTTTCTTACGTACAGCTGCAGTGCTAGGGTCCTGGAAACTGGCAAAGTCGGTCGAGGGCTCAAAGCACACTCTTTCGAACAGGCATTTCCAACTGATCAGGTCAGAAGCCAGACGTGCCTCTACTAACCAGCGGGAGCGCTGCATCGATCTGACGACAAGGGCCTCTTGCTGCCAACGGGTTTCATTGCAGAAGCAGTAATGTATAACTAAAGCGCAGGTGCAATCATGGTGGCACTGATTCATCGGCTGTCCCTGTTGGTCATTGTGACGACTATTGCATTAGCTGCAGTTTCTGCCACTGCTGAGAGCATTAGCGATGGTGGCATCTGAGGGGACCTGCAAGTAAGCCTCGCTCAATACCTGGTGTCTTTGCGGTGACTGACGTTTGAACTGGTAGTTTTCATCGACGCGATCATGTCTGATTAAAAAGGCAAAAAGTGGTTGCAGGCTGCTCCAGCTCATTCATTGCCTAACAGGTTGCGCAAGCTATGAGGAGCTCTTGTGATTGGAAGAAGAGGCCAGCCTATATCCGAACTCATTGTGAAAGCCAAACCCCTCAGCCCCATAGTATTTTTCATGCAGTAGCTGCTCATCAAACTTTGGATCGAGACGTTAAGCTCACTGGGCCATTGCAGGCGCCTCTTCCCTCTGAGATTTTGACTGCAGCAAAAACCGACTGCTTGAGGCCCCATTGGGTTAGGTTTCTGTGGAAATGCTCCTTCCAAGTTGGTATAGAGCCACTAGAAGAGTCTAGTGTCTCTTCTGCTGGGGCGTTATAAAGCACGCACTCAGTACCTGACCTAAGACAATAAACAAGGCTGTTCAACTTGACTGCTTGACCAGTCCTTCCATTTCTTTTGCGCAGACTCCAAGAAGGTATCAAGTCACCTCCATACCTTTGGGTCTAGGGAAGGTAGTTCTTGGCAAAATCAAGGGCCTAGACCTTTTACCATCAGCCAAGCTAACCTCTTCTATTGGCAACATCACACTGGAGCAGAGCACAGGTGAGAATGCATCAGCTTTCGCCGAATGACCAGAAGTTGCGTCCAGATTGAGGACACCCAATCTGGACGCAACAGATTTGTAACACCAGACAGCAAGGGCCCAATTCAAAGAAACAACCTACTCAATGCATACTCAGTGTTACGTTCAGGCTTGAACCACTCAGTTTGCCGAGAGATCTGCTTTAGATGAGTCGCGTAATTGTCTTTGCATCCAATGTATCGGCTCCGTGGTAGGGTGCAATTGAAAGCGAGGCCCCCGCTCAGCTAAAAGCCACTCACCCAAAAACGGAAGCGAGCAGCTGCCACTATTGACGGTCTGATAGCTTGTTGTTTGACTTGGAAAACTCGATCTCTCACTGATTCGGCTCTGTCCCTGTACATCCTGGTTTGTCTCTTTTGGCCAGGGACAATGAAAATCGACTTTGGTTATTTCTTTAATCATGACAAGTCTCTGATCTCGAGAACTTTCTAACCTCTGACTACGCCAGGACCCGATTCACAATTTGATTGCTAAGTTACGATATTCTGCTGTCATCTTGCACAAATCCCAGACTGTCAAAAGCGTCCTGTAGATTGTCGTGATATTGTCAATGAAAGTGTCCTCACATGAACGAACCCTTCCGTGACTGCGTGAAAGTTCGCCCACACTTTCTCCAACTAAAATTTGCCGATCGCTCTTTCCTCATCGTGCAGGCCCTGCCACGTACTATGTCAGCGACAGCGAGAATGACGCCTCCGACGGCCTTTGGCCCGCCAGCCCCTGGCAAACCATCTCCCGAGCAAACCAGGGTAAGCTTAACCCCGGAGACCGCCTCCTCTTTGAGGGCGGCAAAACCTTCACCGGTGGACTAACCCTCCGGAACCTGGTCGGAACTGCCGCCAATCCCGTCGTTGTTGGCTCGTATGGTAGCGGGCGAGCGATCCTTCGCGCGCCAGACGGTAACACACCTGGCATCTTCGTTTACAACTCTGCGTATCTCGAGATCCGTAACCTGGTTTTGTCTGGCGTGGGGACAGCCGCGGCCGACGGGCTCATTGCGTATGCCGACTCCCCGGGGCTCCAGCATTTATACGTCAGTGAGCTAGAGGTTTCCGGGTTTGCGGTCGGGATAAACGTTCAGAGCTCGGTTAACAGCTTCCGAGACGTGCGAGTCACTTGGTGCACTCTGCACGACAACGCAAACACAGGAGTGTTCCTTGGAGGAATCAACCGGGGCGACTTGGCTGACGTTTACGTGAGCCATTGCGAGGCCTTTAATCACGCGGGCGAACGCGGGTACGGGTTCTATCTGTTCCACGTGGCAGCTGCGACAGTGGAGCGGAGCGTTGCGCACGATAATGGCGGAAGCAGCTCCCACCCCCAGGCCTTCGCTGTGCAGGCAAGTTGCCCAAAACCTTTGAACGTTCTTTGATCATGGGACCCCTATGCAGGGAGTCCCGAATATGGCTCTTGAGTCCGGAAACTTACCAATGGGTCGTGAATCTTGGGCTTTTGACTCTGGGCGCTTCACTACGAGCTCTTGACTATGAGCTCCTAAACACGAGCTCTTAGTGAAGGATGTTCATTGGACGTAAATCTCGGTAAGCAATGTACGTTAAGGTACATCTGGGCTCTTGATGGAAGTCCGTAGGAACCAACGCCTTACCTTTCCGTTGCATCCTTCGCTCGATGCAATAGGAATTCTGTGGTATTGTTGAGAGATTTGACCCTTGTACCAGCTTTATGGCCCTTGAAGTTGAGTTCGACTGCTCCATCTTATTCAGTCGGCCGCTGCCTTTCTCTGACTAAGTTTTTTGGCTAATTCGATCCAACGTCACGCTGACCATAGAGTAGACACCTGTTGTCTTTGCTTCGATGCTTACAGGCTGAACAAATGGACATATCACGTTCTCGGTATCTTTACCGTCTTGGCACGTATCATTCGGATTGCATCTTTCGAAAACTTTCAAAGACGTTCTGAAGCCGGCACTTTAAGATCGCTTCCCCTCACGCTTGCGGCAACCCTTTTCCATGCCATGCAGTGCAAGGAATATTGCGCAGGCCCGGGATCGCGGCATTCTTTAGAGGAACTGCAACACTTCTGCTCCATATGTAAAGTCGAAGCAACCGCGCCCCTTTGTCTCCCTGTAAAGTCGTGCCCCCCCGGCCTTGCGATGATCCGTCCCCTTCAACGTCACCCGTTCCATATTGCGTTCGATCTCCGTCGTATCCGTTGTGCAGTCTACCGGTGTCCAGGAGACAAGCTTTGGCAATTCATCTAGCAAGGAGTCAGAAAGTGCTCGCTGCATCTCCCTGACACAGGAAGCAGACGGCGTGACGTTCCGTCACTGCCAGGCGCACCGCACCACGACCGCGGCATCAATCAGATTTTTGAATGCTAATTGCTAGGTAGATCTGTACAAAAGTTCGAAAGTGCTCTTCGTTTTCCCGTCACACAGGAAGCAGACGGCGTGACGATCCGTCACTGTGAGGCGTACCGCACCACGACAGCGGCACGTGACGCAGCCGGCTTCCTGATCGACGGCGGCTCGACTAATTGCGTCATCGAGTACTGCTACGCCCACGACAATTGGGGCGCGGGGTTCCAGATGACGTCATACGCCGGGGCAGGCGTCCAGTTCCGGGGCAACGTCATCCGTTACTGCGTGTCGGTGAACAACGGGCTCGGGGTGGGGGGCTACGGAGAGAGCGCCACGTGGCCCCTGGCGGACAGCGCCGCCTACGGGAACACCATCTTTGCTGACGTCAGCCGGCTTGCGAAGCCCCTGGGGCAAATCTACCTTCTCTCGTACTTGAAGAATTGGGGGGTGTATAACAACCTGGTGGTGGTCAAGGGCGACCTTCCGGTGGTGGAGGCCTGGTTGGGGTCGCCAGCGAATACGGTTAATGCTGCCGGAAACGCCTTCTGGACGGTTGGCGGAACGCCCCGGTTCCAGGAAGGCGGGAGGAATCACGCCTCGGTGGCCGCGTGGCGGGGCGTTACGGGGTGGGAGTCCTTCCACGGTAAACCGACCGGGAAAGTCGGCGATCCCCTGTTTCAGTCGGGCGCGTACAGCTCAGAAGTGGTTGGGATCGGAGAGATTGATTCCTTGGAGGAGAAACTGGGGGGGTGGCGGCTGCAGGGGGGGTCCCCGGTGATTGACGCCGGGGTAGATCTGAGATCACTGGGCATCAGCCCGGGACCCCCTGGAACGGATTTCTTTGGGGGACAAACTCCGCAGGGAGGGTTGTACGATGTCGGCGCAAACGAAGTCCGCTGAGTCTGAAAGGACGTTGGAGCGGAATGAATACGATATTGGCGCCTGTGAAGTTTGCTGACGTCTGTGGAATCTTCTGGTGAAGCAAGCTGGGCGTCCGTTGGATTGAAAGGTGAAAGGGGGGTGAAAGTGGAGAGCGCGGATTGTCGGAATGTACAGACGACATGAGCTCGTTTCTCTTGTGTCTATCGACACAAGTCTCGATGTTGAGTTAAAAATAGGTGCTTCGACTCTTCTTTAATTATCTGAGCGACAATTGCGCTGACGGGATTTGAGAGCAGACAATGTGGAGCCGTGTTCATTGGCGCGGCAGACTTTGAGGTAGACCTTCATGACACCTCGTTGCTTCGTTAATTTAAGCTTCAACATGAACTTGAAAGAAGAGCTGAGGTTCCACCCCCAGGTCGCTGTGCCATGCGCTTCCCTGGTCCCTAGCCTGACATTGTTTCGACGGCCCAGTAATTACGAAGTAGCGTACGAAACTGAGACTTCACAAACCTACTGTCATGCACCCAACCTTGCAAACCAGTTTGCGTTGAAGTTCCGTTGCAAGGGACTGGTATGATTCTCTTTTCAGTATCAGTGCAGGGGTTAAACAGACAAGTGTGCGGTCAAAGGCGAGTGCATAGGTAGTCGGCGTTGGCATGGAAGTGCGGTGAGAGTGCAGCGGCCCTCGCAAATGATGTAGCTGGCTCCAGTTGTCTGCACAGATATACTCAGCCTCTGGATTCGAATTTAGCTAGTGGGTGACTAACATAGATCAAAACCGTTCGTAAACTGGGTTAAGCCGGTAACCAATCATGAACGTTCTTGGCATCATTGGGACCGCAGGTAGTGAGAGTGCTTGCGTTTATCCTCAGCCAAGTGTATCATCGGATGCATGAAGTTCAATAACATGCATGCGACAATTACATGCCACTTACAAATCACGTACGGTACGTATGTAAATATCATGAGATCATGCGGAACCGTACGTCATTAATTTGTAAAGCAAACATATTTGCAATTCGCGTTAGCTCAAATCAGTCACATGACAGCGACCGTTGCGATACTTGATTTGAGGCCGTGGCCGCGTCTTGTACCGCTTAGTGCTTCAAAGCCCAGGACCAATCGAAATATGGGTCTGCATCATTACATTGTGCCCGTATAAGCTGTCATGTACTCTGTTCACGGGCATACCGCATGACCCCAGCGGTGCGCATGCCGCGAGCAGCTTGAATCATCTAAAGCTACAGTTTGATAGTCAATGTCGATCCACACATGTCCGCTCATGTGGCCACGTAGTTTCATCGTCGAGCGCACACACAAAAAGACTTCAAGAAGACAGTGCAACATGCTTAGTATACATCATGCACGATTCAGGTCAAAGGGCTAGTCCCCGGGCTGCATGCCGCCTGCTGCGCCCTAAACGGATTCGACCTCTTATTAATACAAATCACATGCCCAGCGATCGAGCAGTAGGCAAGCGAAAACTTGGTGGAGTAGGCTCTTGATTATCCATATTTATATAAAGCCAGATAACTACATCCTCAATTCGTGACCTCGAAGTGGTGAAGTACGTGTAGCTGTCTCACCTACGGGCTTTAAAGCGGTAAACCTGAAGACAACCCTGGTGGGAGAGCTAGTTGAGAGACATGATCGCTGGTAGTTTTGACCATTTCGTTCTTCAATCATTGAATTAGAAGTAGGCTAATTGCAGCAAATGACGGATCTAGCCTACTTCTAATTCAATGATTGAAGAACGAAATGGTCAAAGTTACCAGCAATCATCTATCAACTAATGTAAGCTCTACTCTATCTACACTCCCTCCAGGCGTTAGACAAGGCTTTGATTACTCATTCACTACGGACGAGACCACAATAACAACTTCAATCCGCATACCAACGATTGCGCACCTGCCTCTTACCGTACGCGCGTTTGTAAGGTATGCGTACACCTGGGCCTGGGTTTGTGTGGCGGGAGTTGGGCAATTGAACCTCAAAACTGTTTACTTTTTCACCATCACATCACAAGCAATCCGCGCAAGTTCAGTAGTACAGCGCTACTGGAAAGACGTGAGCCCGTTCATTCCGGCTCTGAAGACGCCATCCTCGACAAGAATCGCTGCTTCCTTGACTTTTTTGGTTTGAACTTTACCGACCTTCACAGGTCCATCTTTTGATACTTATTGCGACCAATTGACAGCAAAGCTTAACGTCCGAAACTCGGAGCTTGAAGACCGGCGTTCGTCTATGAGAGGTTGCCCTTGAGATTGAGGTGGAACTGAAAGTGGATCTTAAAGCAAATTCTTAGGCAGCATTCCCGCCAGCAGAAGTGGTTTGGCGCTTTGTGAGCTCTCCGTATCAAGGTTGCGTAAGTCTCATTCGAAGGCTTGGCCATAGACAATCTGCTTTTCGCCTGAGTCTCAAACCCTCTGGACCCTTTGGACCCTAATCGCGACAGGGAACAAGTGAAAAGCCCTTTTTGGTCATCAGACTGCAGTCCGTGAAAGAAGTAGCCCCACAACTCTGTGGGCAAGGCTTGATGCGCGCATCATCCTGTCTCAGTATAGGCAAAATGTTTCGTTTAAAGAGATCGTCAGTCAGCCCGAAGAGCAGGTCAACCGTCCTACACCAAAAAGCTCGAACCCAATCACCTTTGAAGGCAGGAGCGTACACTGCGAAGCAGCGACAGGACCCCTCTCAAGTCCTCGAGAAAGGCAGAAAAGCACCTAAAAATGGACAGAAAATCGAACAACCAAGGGGAATCGTCTTTCCCTTAGAAAAAACCAGATGACTAGCCAAGGAGAAGAGACCGCAAGCAAACTCGGCTCATCTTGTAGTCGAAGAAGTTGTCCCCCGAGAGCGAGTGCAGCGTGACGCAGAGGCTCCCCCTGGTGGTGCTGCTGCGCTGCATTCACGAGCAGCTGCTACGGGTTGCGGATACACACTGGAGCGACGTGGTGAACATTAGAAGTCACCAACTAACGAGGAAAGAGAGCCTTTTGACACAAAATGCGAACCTTCAGATTTCTCGCATCCGCCAACTCCCTTAATTCAAGCTTTGCCCCTTTCTGCTCCAACTCCCTCATGAACCTTCAATCTGTCACTTCATGCGTCCATAAACCCCCAAGTGGCATGCATCCTTTCAGAGCCTTAAAATGCTTCACCTCCCAATTGAGCAAAGCTGCCAGATTGAACAAAGTTGGAGCAGACAGCAGTGTGAACACCAGTCCCAAGCTCTGACTCACATTTCAGAGGGTTGCACTGCAGAATAATTGAAAGAAGAAAGCATATGTAAGTCGTGCATTTTCCACCTCCGTGCAATGCTGTCTCGTGTGTTTAGTCACGACCAAAGAAACCCCCAGCAATCTCGTTACAGATGTTTCTAGTTTCTCATAGTCAACCAACATTTCCTTTTCAAAACCTACCTCCACAGTCACCGGCGCTCCCGTCTGCTTCTCAATTGCCTTCACGGCCGCGGTCAGCAGCCGCAAAGTCTCCCCAAGCTCGGAAGCGTCAAGCTCAATGTGGATGGCATTGCGCCCCACCTGGGGCTCAACCGCAATCTGCCCCACCCCCGGCATGATGCGTTCTGATCAAAAGTTGGAGGCGCCTTCACAGCGGGTTCAAAGGGCAGAAAATGGCGCCCACGAAGCCCTTCACATTGTCCATTCTTGAAAACCCTAATTTTAACTTGAAAACCCCCACAAACCCCTACCTGGTGTTGGGCTTTTCAAGTTGGCGAACCTGGCAGTGGCAGTGGAAAAGAAAGAAAAGAAATGCTGGGAGGCGGAAATGCTGTTAGCAAATCATTGTCATGAGTGGTGGGGGCTGCCTTTCATATCACTTTCAAGTGCGTGAGCTGGAGATTGTCCTTCTAAAAAGGTTTCTTTTGATTGGTGCCGAAAATCCACTTTTCACAAATCATCTGAGATGCAGCATGGTTCTTATTTTCAACTTACAAAAGTATAAGGGACGTATCATAACCGCACTAGGGGCACTGTCGGGGCTCGCTTTGATGGCCTATGGGCGTGAGAAGATGTGGCAAAAGAAGGACGAGGCCCGTGCAGAATCGCAGATCCGCATCAAAAAGTTCAAGGAGCTGGCTAGCTGGCGCAGCTCTGATTGCTGACAGCCAACAGTTCATCAAGCAGCATGGTAGTCACTGATTAATATCATGCCCAACCAAGTTGATGCGCACCCCCACCTGGAAGGTTGGCGTTTTCAGAAGTAAGCCAGCTCTTGTGGCGCAGACACTGGCCTGGGGGAATGTCAAAGGACTCCCCTGATGCACTATTGCTCATAATCATGCCTTTTACTAGTAGATAACAAGCAAGGGGGCTCGTTGCAAAGTTTTTCAAGTGCAGGCAGAGAAAGTAGGGTATAAGCAAACTTCCGTGGTCAATCCCAATGGACAACATTCCCAACGGTCCCTCAGACTCAAAGAAGGTGAAGGTGGCGGTTGTGCAAGCAGCCACTGTCTTCTACGATTTGAAAGCCACTCTAGAAAAGGTGAGCGGTTTGATGCTTAGTGGTATGAAGTGTTTGGGCTGCCCTTGTGGTGATCTAGCGACTTTCAATGCATCTAGACAAAACAATGCTGAAGTCTGAACATTTTTGGTAATATCCAGATTCTCCTCCTTGTTTCCTTTGTGCTCGTCTGAAGTTCATCATCAATAGACATTTCGGACACACTCAGAATACTTCTACTTGGTCAGATTGTTGCAGAGAATAGTAATTCGAATATCAAGTTTGGTGTCAGTCGATGATGCCAAAATTCCCCATATTCTGTCAGGCTGAGCGCTTCATCAAGGAGGCGGCTGACCATGGCTGCCAGCTGGTTGTTTTCCCTGAGGCTTTCATTGGGGGCTACCCCCGGGGCTCCAATTTTGGAGTGGTTATGGGCAGTCGGTCCCCGGAAGGAAAAGAGGAGTTCAGGTATGCCGCATGGTTCGAGGCGTCATCATTAGACAGTTGGTTAAAGATATGTAGAGCGGTTGACGGGTTGGACTTTGTGACAAAGGGCCGGCACCACTGTGCGATAACCTTGTCGCCGTTTGCTAAGGAGTCAAAAGGGGAGACATGTTGCCATTAATGGATAGGCGGTCGAGTGAGTGAAGGAATCTGGTTGCGGATGCCAGCTGACACGCCCTTTATCAGGTCCATAATTACAATGCACTCCATATCATGGCACTTTCATCAAGATCTTTACAAGTTCGTCGCGGGCAGGGACTCCTCTTGCACCCACTTCGATTCCGCATAAAATAACAATCACCTGTTTGCACGTCCCTGGAAGGCCTACTTCTTATGCCCCTTCAGCACAGGTCAGAAACCCATTCTGCCCCCTTCCCCTCGTCTCCATAATCCGGGTATCTTCATACTCTTTTCCCTCTCATAGCCGTCAGTTATAACCTGTAACTTATCAGCTACATGCTGGTTGACGCCCTGTCATCTATCCCCCAGGAAATACCACGCAGCTGCGGTCGAGCTCCCCGGGCCCGCCTCCGACGCCCTGGCGCAACTCTCTGCCAACCACAACGTCTTTCTCGTCATGGGCCTGATCGAGCGGGAGGGGGGCACTCTCTACTGCTCGGTGGCCTTTTTCGACCCCCTGAAAGGATACCTTGGAAAGCATCGGAAACTGACCCCGACTGCAGCGGAGCGGTACCTTTGGGGGTGTGGAGACGGAAGCACGTTACCAGTGTTTGATACGGAAGTAGGGAAAATCGGGGCTGTGATCTGCTGGGAGAACCGGATGCCGCTGCTGAGGACGGCCATGTACGGAAAGGGCATCCAGGTACGTAAACATGCGAAAGAATGGTTTCATGAGAGCGAGCACAGATGATTCACAGATTGACTGCGCAACGTGCCCCTCCGCATGTCTTTCGCGGGAAGACAGAGGGTCCCACTTTCGTCCGCGACCGTAAAATGTTGCGAACAGATGACCGGTGCTGACAGTTTAGACCGCCCCGTGATATGCTCTCCGCCCTCTTTAAGGGCACAATTCATCTTTCGTTATTGGGCTGGTCGAAAGGGGGTGCGAGCAGACCGCTTGTAAAGCGAAGCTTTTGGCTGCTTTGTATCTGAGCACGAACCTGCATAGGTCACCCTTGGAATGACGAAACGGAGCCAGTCGACTCGTCCTGAGTCATCTGCCCGTGCTCAGCTGTCGTGCAGCTCCTCAGCGGCGCAGAGTGCACTTTCGAGCTTCTTGTTACATCGTCGACTGTCAACCTAACACTGGACTTATCCAGAAACGGACTGCAAGGGGAATGTTGCTATTGCCTTTCCGTCTGTTTTGAAATACTGGTTAAGAGCGCAGGACACAGCAAGCTGCGAAATCATTTGTTGCGAGTCACGCAGTCAAGTTGTCGTTCTTAACCTCTCCAGATCTACTGCGCCCCCACGGCGGACGCCCGTGACTCTTGGATTGCCACCGTCCGCCACATCGCGATGGAGGGCGCCTGCTTCGTCCTGTCCGCAAACCAGTTCTGCAGGCAATCCGACTACCCCTTCCTACCAGAAACGTCAGGGGAGGCTAAAGATGAGAGCAGGTGAGGGGGCTTCAGGTCGAGGTCTAGAGCAAACTCGAGTCCCGGTGGAATTAGAGTTTGTTCGGTTGTTCTCTCGTTCGACGGTTCGTCGTCCGACATTGCTTGACTGGTGTAAGCGTTTTCCATGTCTACGTCTATGCGTCGCCACCTGTGCGCTTCTTCCTCTCAATTTGTCGAGATTGCTGAAATTTTCCTGGTGACTTTTGATCCACAAGGGAAACGTGCATCTGTTTTCATTGAAGTGCTTATCCATTGCTGCTCTTCAGATTGGAGTCCTGAAGGGCTCAGCGACCATCATGGATACTGGTGCGGTTCTGTTGTTGCGGACGCTGTGGAAAGCCTGTAGGTTCTGGTCCGCTCGCTGATGGTCGAATTGATCACCTGTGCTATATAGCTTGGCCAGCATACGTGACGAACACAATCTGCTCATTTTGCTGCGCTTACGTCCCAATTTGTCGCTCTTTGCAGCGTCTTGTGCCGAGGGGGCAGCGCAATCATTGCCCCGTCGGGCGAAGTTCTGGCGGGACCCAAGTATGACGGAGAGGGCCTCGTAACAGCCGAATTAGGTGCGCGGCCAACTTTATTTCTCACAACGCCCCATGCATTGGAGTCCTTGATAAGCCGGCGATGTGTCCATTCGTTTGATGTTCTTTGTTCGCGACTTTGACTCGAGCAGTGCGATCGGAACTGGCCATTGTGGCTGTTCTAAGAAGCACTTCGTTCAGGATAATCCGCGACGCTGCCCAGAGATCTTGATCAATCTTATGCACGTTTGCAGATCTGGGCGATATAGTGCGAGCCAAGTTTGACTTCGACGTTGTGGGCCACTACGCGCGGCCCGATGTCTTGTCATTACGAGTGAACGAAAAGCCTAACAGTACCGTGACGTTTCTGACGCCATAAGACTGGTTTACGAGTTTGTCTTGTAACATATTGAGAATGAAACCCGATTCTGACATTTTCTACCGGATCTGTACGCTATCTTTCATTGGACAATGTTTGCCGCAAGCAGTCACAGTAGTCACCCCTGCTTCCATGACACGACGATCAGTGCCCAAACTCAGATACAATCAATTCAGGAGAATACGGTGTTCTGCTGAATTCCGTAAGTAATTTATAAAGTATGCTTGTACGTACAAGTGGTTGCAGATAGTTACATTTGGAAGTATTTCAATGCCTCCCTGCGGTCAAGCTTAAACTTCCCATGCTTATGAGAGGTCTCCGAGTGTAGGCGCGGCCGGAGCCTGTCTTGCTGTACGTGAACTTCTGGTCTGATTGGGATCTGAATGAGAGCCGTGCCGCCATCCCTTCGGGTTGGAGCTGCGTTTCCACGTTAAGCAGCGCGCATTAGCTCGTGCAAGTCACTAGAGCCTTCTTTCGAATGCGCTAACTGCCGTCTTCAAGCCGATGCGGCACAACAACTGCATGCACTGCCCTTGTCCCGGCAGCGTCCAACGCCATGCAGATGAGACTCGAAAGCTCTATTTGTCATGTTGCTTTGAAGAAAGTCCATGGAGTGCAAGAGTGGCTCGCAGATGCAAACTGCTTTATATGGCCTGGTACCGTCGTTATGCAGTGACGATCGAGTTACCGAACGTGACATAAGATTTTATTATTTTTTCTTAACTTGGCCCCCAGCTTCGACCTCGTCTACGCCTAGTAAGTCAGGTGGCCGACACTTTCATCAAGCTGGACTGTAGCATTCAGATCGCGCTGATCAACAGTCTGAAGCCGATCAGGGGAAGCTCCAATCATCGTCATCACGAGTGCCTGATGATGCAGGGTGCATGTGCTCACGGTCACGCTGGCCGACGCGATAGGTCACACGAAAGAACTTGGCGGGATGAGGTGTTCGTTCACAATGTTGCGCAGAGGGAGCGCCCATGCCCTAATAGACGAGATGCGGCGTAGGCTTAAGTCCATGGCGTAAAGGCAAGGCTCACAGCGCTCTAGAACCGGACACGAAACCCTTGCATGGGGAAAGCCGAGAGGGGGAGATACCTAGAGCAGGTCCTTCCCAGCATATAGCAGCAAAAGCTTGAGCGCGTTGGAACCGCCGCCGTAGAAGAAAGTATTGAGCGAACCCTGTCTTGCTTCTGCTCCTTTTCTAGGATTCTCTTCCGCTTGTTCAGATTTCTTTAAGGGTCGCCTAGAGCTTTCGCTTGGTGCATGCTCGTTCCTGGAGGGGCTCCTGTGCGTGATTGATAGATAGCAGGATGGAGGGGAATGCGCACAGACTGGGAGACATGCCAGGTATGTGGACAAATTGCTGTCCCCTTTCTTCGTTTTGAATCATTGGCAATTGGTGGCTTCTGCGCGGATGTCAAGAAAGAGAATTGCAAAAGTCTGCTGAGAAAAAGTAATTTGCAAAGACCGACGTTTGAACTCATGGCGCTGCATGCTGCAGAGCAGCTCAAAAGACTTTACAGAAAGAGAGCGGTGTATCGACAAAAAGAAGGGCTGAGCAGCAGTAAGTGCGGAATTGGGCGGAACGTCGAGGATAGGAAGTGGGAGGATATATAAACCGTTTGAAAGGCTCGATTGGAAGAAAGAAGTCACCTTCTCGTCTCGAGCTCGTGGTTATTGCAGAAGTCCCTCAGACTTCTCACAAGCCCCTGGATAGGTCTCTTTCAATTCCCTGATGCAGTGAACCAATTTCAAGAGTGTGAAAAACGAACTTGAGGCGGAACCCTATTTGTCTGAATACAGAATGCGCTTGAGAATGCTGCAATAATGTCCTTGGCTCATGTACCAAAGGTGGCTGAGGTTGCTTCGCTGTGTGAACTGCTCGCGCGAACGACAACGTGTCAAGCAGATATATGGAGCAACTCACTGCTTCCTCGGAACTGCAGCGCTTTATTGAAGTCAAAGCTTTCCGTCAAGTCATACGCCAAAAAAGATCCACTGCACCAGGTCGGGCCTTTACCATGAAAGCATGTGAAAAAGAATGAGAGTGCTGATAACGTGAAGCCAAAACTGCAATTCATCTGAGTCATAGGCGTTTTTCCTCTGACAATCTCTCGAGGCTTAACTTCACCTTTACGCCTTCGTCATTGTGTTCCATCATTGCTGGTCACACCACAAAGACCTTGCTGTCCTTAAAACTAAAGCTTGCTCCTCCCAATCCAGTCGCGTCTTGCGGATCTTTGCTTATTGCCGTTCTGCTGACGTCACATCATATCGCGTTTCACTTCGTTTAGAAGGGAAGGCGAGCCAGCGCGAGCGCGACCTGCTGGCGCCACGCAAGTACCAGCTGGAGATTCTGGCGGAGGCCAGGCAGCGGAACACGATCGCGTACCTTGAGACCGGAACCGGAAAGACGCTCATCTCGGTGCTGCTCATCAAGGCGCTGTCGGCGGACCTCCGCAAGAGAAACGGAAAGAAGCTGGCGGCGTTCATCGTTCCGCTCGTTCCGCTCGTGCATCAGGTGCGGATCAAAGCAGGACGTGGTGCTTGGAGCGAGGTCTTGGCAGCGCATGGCAGCGTATGTTTTGGTCGCAAACGATTGGCAACCCGCTGAGGGAGCGTTTTAATAAGTAAAAGGCAATCTCAATGAGACAGAAACGGGAGAAATGTGGGATTCTCGTCGCTCTCCTGCCAATTATTTCATGGCAGAAAGGAGTCGCCTTTCGCGAGAAGTGCGCACCAAGTGCTTTAGAATCTTGTGGCAGGATACTGTATCGACCAGAAAGCCGCGAAGCCAGTTTCGCTGTCATGGCACGCACGAAGTACGGTCGAATGGCGTTGCAAAAGTCAAACTTCTTTGAGTTGTTCTCTGGAAGGATTTCGTGCAAATGGTTAAGAAATGCAAATATCGTGCAGCAAGCGGAAGTGATTCGTGTTCACACCGACCTGCGCGTGGGCCACTACTACGGGGACATGGGCGTCGACTTCTGGAAAGCGGAACGGTGGGCGGAGGAGATGGAGAAGAACCAGGTGAGCGAGAAAGCTTGGCTGCTCTACCAGCCACTTTCGTCAAAATGGCAGGTGTCTTAAGAGTGAACTGAATTCAACGGTTTAAAAGCTTCGGTGACTTTCTGAAAGTACCACGACTCCTTTTGCAAGATCCCTTACAAAGTATTTCAAGCTTGTATTCACGACGTCATTTTTGTTTTGCTCCGATGACATCTTCCTCTCATCCATTCTGAACACCGTTCATAATTGGTGCAAGTGAGTAACACCTCTGTGCAACGCCGTCTTTTATTTCTGCTGGAGTTCAGACCTACTGACGTATACACAGTTGCCTGCTGACGTCTAGAATGACGTGAGCGCCCTCTGCAGGTCCTCGTATGCACGGCGCAGGTGCTATAAATGCTCTCCGCCACGGTCTCTGCGCATCAGTTTCACAAACGATACCCCGACCCACTGACACATGTAGGGTTTCGAAGTAGCTTGCTGGCTTTCCACCTGATTTTTCTGACGTGTCACTTGACCATCGCTTACGTGTCCACCCGCAAGTCCTGTTGTGCACTGGGCAGGTTCTGCTCAACGCCCTCCGCTACGGCTTCCTGCGCATCAGATGAATCTAGAACAACCCGCTGTCGTGTCATCGAGACTACCCGCTGACCTATCTCTGAAATTGCTGACATGTCCTTTTGCAGGTCCTGGTGTGCAGGGCGCAGGTTCTGCTGAAAGCTCTCCGCCACGGCTTCCTGCGCATCGCCTTGCAGATTCCACCCGACCCACCGACACATGGAAACTTTTAGAATAAACTACCGAATTTTCACCTCCGAGTGCTGACGTGTCCTCTGACGTGTCCCTCCGCAGGTCCTGGTGTGCACGGCGCAAGTTTTGCTGAACGCCCTTCGCCACGGCTTCCTGCGCATGGCCCAGCTGCGGTTGCTGATCGTGGACGAGTGCCACCACGCGCACGGCCGCCACCCGTACCGCCAGATCTTCACCGAGTTTTACCACGCTGCTGACGTGGCGAATCGGCCGGCAGTTTTCGGCATGACGGCATCGCCCGTTAACACCCAAGGTGGGGCTGGCGGTGGGATGATTGGAGATTGAACTGTGAATTGTACGATCTTCTTGGTTGGCCGAAAAAGGCGAGCGAGCGTGCTTCATTTGTGCAATCGAGCTTTCTCAGCAAGAGTCGAACTCGAAGGAAAGGTAGAGCTGTGTTAGAGGCGGTCTACGTCGCTTTCTGATCAGTGCTAAGTGCTTTGAGCTGTGACTTTGGAAGGGTCTTAAAATAGGGCTAGCAGACGAACGGTTGAAAAAGGGTGTTGTCAATCCTCGTTTTGTGAATTCATCCGTCTAAAGCGCCCCCTACAAGGCGCACAAGGTCGACGGGCCGCAAACTAAGTGAAGTTGTCGTCCCACTCTCGTCGCGCCAGGTGTCACCGATCTGAAGGACTGCGCGCGCCAGATGGCGGCGCTGGAGCGCACGCTGGACTGCACCATCTTCGCACTCGAGGACCGGGACAGCATCGAAACTTTCGCCCCGACTCCCAACGAGATCGTTCTGCATTACGATTCGGAGGGGGTCGTCGATTCCGGCCTGATGAGACGCCTGCAGAAGCTGATTCACCGAGCGGAAAGGGCCGGCGAGGAGGAGAAGAGGCGGGCGGCGGAAGCGGAACAGAAGAGAGTTGAGGCGGAGGCGGAACAAAAGATATCGGAAGCGGAAGCGGACGCGCGAGGAGTGAAAGACGGGGATGAAGTGGGCGGGAAAGCGGCGGAACCCGGGAAAGCGACCGGAATGGAAGCCGCTGCGAAAGGAGGTGACGAAGGTAGTATGCAGAAGGAGGCAGCCAAGCCGGAAGAGCAAGAAAGTGCTGAGTGTTCCGGATCCGTGGATGGGGCCAGAACTGACGGACAAAGTGACGAAGCGGTCAAAGCGGCGGAGGTACCGGCTAACCCAGAAGCAGTCACGAGGCGGGCGATCACCGAAGTCGTCGGGGAAGCCGATCGGACAGACGGAACAAAGTTTGCGGCTGAGAAGCGGAAAGGTGGTGCGGAAAATGGAGATGGGGACGAAAAGCCGGACGAGAGTAGCTGCAATGCCGTGTGGGGCGGAGCGGAACCGATCGGAGCGGAAGCCGGAAAGCTGGCGGCAAGGCTGCTGACGCGGGTGAAGCACACGTGGGAGGAGCTGGGGCAATTTTGCGCCTTCAAGGTAGGAGTCACAGGTGTCCATCCGTATGGTTTGAGAGCGTCTTACAAGGAGGTGGATTGCGTTTTCGCTCTTTGAGGAGAGGGGCGTGGGGATTTTAAGTGCAGGAAACCTTAATTTTCCTTAAAAATTGGCAAACCATCCTTGCACGTGTGCCAGGATGGTCTGCGGTTTCATATTCTCAGCGGGCATGATGAGCTGAATCCAAGTGAGTATCTTTTGCTTACACTAAAAGTTTCCTTCTCGACGCACCGCTACTCAATATCCCAGCTTTCACCCCTGAGGTCGGACGAGATAAAACAACGGGCCGTTCCTACAGCAAGTTTTGGAGACATGCTTCCGCCCGTCGTCTGCACCACGCAGCTCGCTTCTTTCTGGTCCCGTCCATTCGCTCTCTCGAATCAAATAGTATACCCGGTTGACACAATCAACCCCTTTTTACTATCTTCTTAGGCGACGGAGCGGCTTCTGGCGCAGCTGTCGGAGGAGGCGGCCGCGGACGCGCTGGTGTTTGCGGGTTTGGACGTCGGGCGGGCGCGGCACGAGCGCGCGGTCCAGCGCTGGTTCCTGGGCCACGCGCGGACGCTTCTGGAGTGCGACGCGAGCGAGCTCCAAGAAGGTGCGCGCGCGCGTAGGTTTTCGAGTTTGGAGGTGTTTTCGAAGCCTGTGAGCGCGAGTAATAGGTTTTGAAGGTCTGGTATCACAGGGTAATTTGGACGTCGAAGGGAAGCGCAACTTTGACCAAACCTTGAGCAAATCTGTCGTGGTTGTCGCGCGCCGGAAGGCGCGGGGCTCGGGGCTTTTTGGAGGGCATTTCTGCGACCTACTTTGAAAGACAGACTTTGTCTATAAAAAGGGTGCGTCTTTCGCACTTGCTATCCATCATGGTAGCAAGCTTTTAAAAGAGCTAATGCTCATGCAAAATTTTCTGCTTTTTTAGGGGCAATGAAAACCATCCTCTGAGCTTCAAATCTCAGTCTTCATCAGTGTATTGCGCTGATGCCCTTGTTAGCAAGTTTCAAAGGGCTGCGAACACGTGTGGTCTCATTTGTTTCTTTTCTGATCCGCTTGCGCGACAGCCCAAAATTGCCCAAGTCCATATATTTCTTGCCTGCCAGACTGCATCGTTTGATCCCGTTTCGGTCATGGACTCAGCAAATCTTCGCACCGTCAAAGTTGAACGCTCTGTCTTTTGATCTGTGCCGCTGAGTGTTGGAAAACCCCTCCGGTTGATCTTCTAGATTCCCCACTCTTCGCTGTCGGGCAGGGATAAAGCTACTACTGAGCACTCGAACTCAGCCATGAAATTGACTCTAATCTTGATGCCTCTCCTTTACCCGAAACGAATCAGGGCGCTGCTTGAGCAGACTGCCCAGCGTTTTACCTCTAGCCTATTTTTACCAGCAGCCAGATGCGTGTTCACAAGCTGGCTTTCTTTCTGCGAAAATGAATCCAGATTTTATGTGAATATCCTGGCTTCCGCAACCTGGTTCCGCTATCAAGATGTCAAAGACCAGTAGGCTGTCGGGTCGATCGGAACGGTAGCTTGTCGCGAATCGAGCACCTTAAAAAGACCTTCATTAAGCTTGTCTATCCACTTCACGCAGTAGCGGCTAAAGTCGGATGCTTACAAGAAGCGAAGGCGATAATGTCGTGGCTTTTCAAGCGTCCTTGCTTCCTTCCTTTCGCCTCCCAACATAGCGAGAGCCCGATGGGAGCTTGTCGCGGACTTAATGTAGGCTTCCCTTGCTTACTTCAGTCCTTAAAACAAATTTCAGCCTTGAAGCGGCTGGATCACACTTGAACAACTTCGTTCACAATAGCCTCCGGATGAGAAGCCAATCGGTCCTGAGTCAATACTTGGTTAAGCAGTATCCTTTCAATTTAAGGCGTATCCAACGGCTTGGGTGCCGTCACTAGGAGTGGGTTGCATGTTTGCGGACTCAAAGGTGCGTCAAGTCCTCGTTTGTAAGAGCGAGGATGCTTTTAGGAACTATTTTTAGCTGCCCCTGTACTCGGACTGCTTGTGTTTTAAGGCGGCAATGTTGACCATGAGCTTGTTAAGCGTTGTGCTCAAGAGCATTTTGAGGCATTCTGATGCCGTCATAAAAAGTTTGCTTAAGCTCGCCTTTCAATTGCTTATGACAGAGACTCTTCTCTGGATTTTTGCAGTCTCATAAGACTGCTGCCACCTCGACTGATGCCATGTGTTCGCTTTTACTCGGTTGAGCACTTTCATACTCTTCCGTTGAGAAGGGAGTAGATACTCGTCTCATAATCAAGTAAATGACGTCAGGCCTCGATTCGTGCGCCGACCAGCCCTCAAGACAGTGGCTGCTTCGGTGCGTTGACACGTGTTGCAAAGCCTTCAGTTGAAGAGAAAATGGTGCTTCCGATTTGCACGGTTTTGATGTTTGTGTATGACGAGTCCGCTGCTGGACTCGGCGTCTCAGTGCGCTCGTGCATGCTTGATTGCCGGAATGTGGAGCTACCGACAGTTTCCTGAATACAACCACTTTTTCCCGGAATATTTCATGTGCTCGCAATGGTTGTAACATCGCCAGCAGCAACGTTGCGAGTTATCAGAAGAAGGAAGGGATTTGAGAAACAGCCAGTGCTGGTGATACAATAGTTCCTTCTCAAACAAACCTGTCGGTAAGAGAGCCAAATCTTGCGAGTTCCTGCATGCGGTGGTGTCGCTTGCTGAGATATCGCTATCCTTCTTTTCCCAATGGGCTGCCAAGGCAATGGTGAAACCGGCCACGTACCTGAGCTTTCTCGCTCACGCGGCTTTCGTGTCTTAAAGCCTGCTTTCAGAATTATAGAAAGTATAATGCAGGGAGCTCCACACAATTGCGACTCCTGCTGCATAGAGTCTAGTATTGCAAGCTCCATAAAAGCATGAAAGCCCTTTTTTGAGTCTGGTCGGGCAGCGGTTCAACCAACAGACAGAATCGGCTTTAGTGATCAAGAAAACCAGATGCAGGTGTGCCTTACAAAACGGTCAATCAGGACGTTGCGACATGTCCCAAAACATTGTCAAGACCTGCCTCGCTCTCCCGTCGTCTCCACCGGAACGTGTTTCCTGGTGACTCGTGGATGTCATCCGCGTTCTTTTGATACAAGACGCCAGTCACATCGAAGTAGCTAGAGAGTTCTAGAAGCTCCACATCTACTTCCTTTACTGTGCGCGCTTCCTCTCAAGGCGTTCTGTATCTGGCGTTTCCCGGAAGACCCTGTCGAAGGGAACGAAGCGCCCACCGTCGACCTTCCGAGGTCAAAGCAGGCGCGGCGCGGTTCTGACGCCCTTATATGCAGTGATATAGTCGTATTAAAAACAAATGTGTCGTGACGGAAGCGGAACGTCCTTTACGAGCTACTACTTTGCGGCTGTCACGGTTGCTCGCTCTGAAAGCTTCGAAGGGGCTTAAAGATGTCTGATGGAAATGTGTTGTAAGCCACATGTTGGCGCTGCCACCTGTCTTCTTTGATGAAGAATGAATCAGACAAAGCTCGGACAGGTACAGCTGGCAAAAAAATCTTACTTGCTACTAGTAGTTGTGAATATCACGTTTTGACCACGACGAAAGTAACTGGCAATGATCCAGCGTCAGGCAGCATGGGCTTTCTCTGTCGCTCAACCTCCCGGTCGGTTCTGAGCCAAAAGGAAGACCATTTTTGAACTGGGTTTCGAGTGAAAGTACATGGAGCGCCCGAAAAGCTTTTCTGTTGGAATATTGGTCGTTTGAAATGTTCGAGGGCATCGTTAAGATCGTCTTCTCCATTTCGTTTCATGAGAATTACGCTGAGCTTGTTGAGTGCATCTTGAGAGCGGCAAAGCCACGAAAGCCTTCGTGTGAGAACCCACTTGCTTTTCTTTCGAACCTGCCCATGAGGGGAGCCCAGGATTTGTTTGAGCGAATTTGCCATGCAAGTTTCCGGCCTTCAGACCGTTCTGTTTTTTGCACAGCTTCTGAAAGCCCCTGCTTGAAGCACGAAATTGAAAGCTTGCCAGAACGCTTCTCAAGATCCGTGTGTTTGCTTCTGGTCGTCGCAGATTCACTCCGCTGAAGAAGCACAACGCACTTTTCAAAAGTTTCCTGTGCCCAAAGAAAAGACGCGGTTGCTTTGAAATTGAGAAAAGCGGAAACGGTCTGATCCGTGGCTCAGGGATGAAGCAGTGGATGCAGATGGTGCCTTCGACTCAAACAGTTCTCACCGTTCCCTTTCACGTTTGCCCATGTGTCCGAAATCCATCTTCCTCAACAAAACCACTGCTCACCGTATATAGATGCCCTTTACTGTCGACGGCCTATCCCGACACCGGAGTCGGCTCTGTTGGGCTTGGCGTCTCAAGCTTACTTCGAGTAAATTGGTCTCCTTGAATGGAGGTTGTTTCGAATTTGTGCTGAGTTGCCGCTGACAGGGCCATGAGAAGCCGCTGACGAGCTTTTCAGCTCAACGAAAGAGTATGTCTTACCAATGGCGACGCCTTCGTTGACAATCGTCCTACGTAGCTTCTAGAGAAAATTCCTCAAGTCGCAGAGTAACGGCTTTGTACGTGACCTTGATTGTGGATTCCGGTTTTGCATTCTATGCCAGCTCAGCTGACGTCAGCTTTGCAATCGTAGAGTCCGGTGGCCAGCAAATTTCTACCCGTTCAACAGACGCAAAAGCCCCTCTCGAAAGTTTTCTCTTGGATGCGTCTCCCAAGAATCATTTTCTGCAGGTTTAGAGATCTCTGTACAACACCTTAACTCCCTAGCATATTGCTTCGCTTTCGAAAGCACCAATCGACCTCTTTTACTTTTCATCACCGGTCGACCGATGGTAGCAAAGATTATTTGGGCGAAGCTGACATAACTGTCAGTATTGCCGGGGTAGTGAGCTGTGGGTGAGGTTCATCTTAAGAGGCGCAATTCAAAGTCATCTGCGTCTTGGTACGAGAGCATTGCGAATCAAGTTCCCTGCAGCCCTTCGACTGGGCAGAAGATTGGACATATGCACACGGAAAGTCGTCCTGTTGAATTAGAACCTTATGCCGTGGATCTTCTGGTTATTTTGCCTGAGCGGGCACACTTGCTGTCTTTCAAAGAATATCATGTACAGATGCGTCAAATTCAAATGGGTTTGAGGGGCTTACTGGTTTTCTTGCTCAGAGAGCATTTTACAGTGAGTGTCTCCGGACACGCATAGTCCTTCTTGTCAGGATGTTTCGATATAATCCTGAGACCGTAATGCCTTAGGTCTGAGAAAGTACAGCCCAAAGCTATCCGCTGAAAGCGCCTCCTCCTACATTCGACCAGTGCGCTAAGCGAGTTCATCCTGCGGCGGCACGATTTTCGAAGACGATTCTCCATGTTCTGGTTCCAGGTTGTTGTGTAGACCATTCATTTTCCTTTATGAAATAGATAGCGGCAAATATGAACCGGGCCTATTGAGACTTTCGAGCTCAGAGGTGATGCATGTGAAAAACTCCGAGCCAACAAATCTGACTACGTTCGCCGCAAATCACTTAAACTTGCCCCATATCTTTCTGAACGTATCCGCGCTTTTCTGATAAGATGCTTGGTTACCAAGCACGCCTTAACCAAGCTCGAGAACACCAAGAGTACCGTCAGTTGGCCGACATTGGATTTACTCCATCCATTTCGAACCCCATTCTCCGAAAAGGCCAATGCTTAGGTCCACAGGAATTGCGGTACGTGGTGTGTAAAACTTTTGACCCGCAAAAAACGGCCGTGAAGAACCATGGGCTGGGCCCGAGTGGCCCAAGCATAATCCTTCCATATTTTGAGCCCAAAGTACCGCTAGTTTTTATGCAGCCAGCTTGATGCCCTGAACCCCGCAATAGCTTTGGTATCCTTTTTCGAAATGAGAAGCGGACCCACAACAGCCGCCCACTTTCTCCTCACGACAACTCTAGCTTAAGCTTTGAGTTTCAAGAAGGGTTTCTCAATACG